TTCCAAAAGGGGGAGAAAGAACAAAGGGGATTGAAAAGGTATTTGTAGAAATTATGACTGAAAACTTCCCAAACGTAAAGAAGGAATCAGATATCCAAGGACAGTAGACTCAGAGGGTCCCAAACAGACCCACACCAACACATATCATAATCAGGATGGCCAGAGTCAAGGATTAAGAAATGGTCATAAAGGCAGCAAGAGAAAAGCAAAGAGTGAGTTACAAGGGAACCCCCTATAAGGCGCTCAGCTGATTTCTCTACACAAACGCTACAGGCCGGAAGGGAGTGGCAAGATATATTCAAAGTCCTGAATGAGAAAAAGATGCAGCCTAGGATACTCTATCCAGCAAAGCTATTCTTTAGAATAGAAGGAGAGATAAAGAACTTCACAGATAAGAAAAAACTAGAGCAGTTTTAGCAACCCTAAACCTATGCTAAAAGAAATATTGAAAGGTCTACTATAAATAGAAAAGCAGCAGGATGCTACAGAAATGAGAAACTCATAACTAGAAAAGTGAAAACTACCATGAATTACAAATAGAATAAACAAAATTGTAAAAGAAGACAGCTAAATCATTAAGAGTGGGAGAGGGATGCAAGAAAACAGAGTTTTTTTTCTTTTTTAAATTTTTTGTTCTTGGTACCATAGGTTTGAGCTTCTATTACTATCTGTTTCATGTTTCAATTACAGTAATGGGTTAATAGACTTTAAAAAAGGGTGACCACAAACCAAAAACTTACAACAGAGCCACAAAAACTAAATAAAATCCAAGATAATACAAAGGAAAATTACCAAACCACAAAAGGAAGGAACAAAAAGAAAATACCAAATCAACTGCAAAAATAAATTCAAAATGGCAGTAAACACATATCATTAATTACTGTAAATGTCAATGGACTAAATACTCCAATCAAAAGACAGAGTGGCAGATTGCATAATAAAGCAAGAACCTTCAATATGCTGCATACAAGAGACCCACTTTAAGGCGAAGGACACATACAGATTGAGAGTGAAATGATGGAAAAGGATAGCCCATGCAAATAGAAAACCTAAGAAAGCAGGTGTTGCAGTACTGATTTCAGACAAAATAGACTTTAAAACAAAGGCCCTAAAGAAAGATAAAGAAGGACATATAATAATTAAAGGAGTAATACAAGATGAAGATATTACACTCATTAATACATATGCACCCAATACAGGGGTACCTAAGTACACAGAGCAACTACTAACAGAGATAAAGGGGAAAACTGATGGGAGTACAATCATTGTTGGAAATCTTACCACCACAGTAGCATCACTAGACAGATCTTCCAGACAGAAAATAAATTATGCTACAGAAATTACAATAGAAAAATTAGACTTGGTGGATATTTTCAGAGCATTACACCCCCCAAAAAATAGGATATACATTCTTTTCAAGTGCACATGGAACATTTCTACGTCTTTACCTATC